GCTAGGGATGTCTGTATTTATCAAATTGTTCCCTCCTTTTTATAGTTTCATCTTTTTATGTCTTATAGTTTATTGTTGGTGACTTCAGATTGCTTTGGGAAATAGGTACTGTGTCAACAAAATTAAATAAATAAACTGCATTCTACTTACTTAGCAGCTGGAATATATGAGACTCTTGGAAATGGGCATATAGTATAACCCGAGCACCACCACCACAATTTCATTTCTAGAATACAACATGCAGAAATTAATGTTTGGCTCCTTCTGCCCCGTTATGTACACTTAGCCCATCATCACCAGTGCATGCTGGGAATTTGTAAAAGCCCCTCCAAGGGTTGTCAGAAACCATATGGTATAACAAATGTGAAAATGATATTTTAGCCAAAGTGCATTTCTTCTTGTTTACCAGAGGATTCATACAAGAAAGAAATTCTCTAAATGTGATAAACATGGAAAAGGTGATTTTCAGAGGCCAAATTTTCACTGTAGAAATAAATTCCAGCCAGGGAAGGAACCTCACACCTACTATAGGCATAGTCAGTGTTTTGATTGGCATTGCCATGGTAACAGTCACCCATGAGGCCATATGGAAAGAAGCTCCATCAGGATGTTGTGGAAGTTACACGGCCACGAATAACTTCTAGAGATCTATTGTACAGCAGAGTGCCCAGAATTAACGCTACTGTATTGTGTACCCAAATATTTGCTAAAAGGGTAGATCTTATAAGTGTTCTTATCCTCATCACCATCATTATAAAAAAAGAAGGCAGGAGGAAATTTTGGAAGTGATGGATAGGGATTGTGGTGAGGGTTTCACAGTATATACTTATCTCTAAACTCATCAAGTTGTGTACATGAAATATGTATAGCTTTTCATATGTCAATCACACCTTAATAAAGTGGTTTGAATAAAAAAAGATGACGTGTGTGGAGGAGGCTTTAAGCACAAACCTCCTGCACTCCAGAAAACCAAGACAGGCTAAGAATCATGGGTCACAGGAGCAGTAACTCAGGTGCTTTTGGGGCCAGGCAGGGAGTGTGAATGACTGAAACAAGCCAGCATGAGCTGACTCCAGCCAAGGGTTACTCGGCAGAACTGTGGAACCACGATGGCTTGATCTCCTGGTTTTTTAGGAAAAGCAGGAAATCCAGACCTTTATGGGAATTCTTCTAATTATGAAATGTTGGTAACTAATATAAAAACTTGTAAATGCTACTCACAGCAAACAGGCTCCCAGGTCTCCAATTTGCACCTCTGAGCTCAGAGGACAGGATTCAGAGGATGCTAATTCTCTGAGATCCGAGAGGCCATGTTAGCAAGAAACCCTTTTAGTGATGTGAACAGAAGCCTCTGGGAAAACTTCAGCCCTTTCTGCTCCCCAGAGAATCTACCCAGGAGAAACACCTTCCCCCTGCCCCACATTCCTTCCACTTCACTGGCTCTCCCATTTAGCTTGGCACTGCCTGGGCCCTGCCTGCCCCAGCTCCATCATCACCTGCCATTTTGACACTCTGCTTCCCCTGCCTGAGCTCAGCAGCTCCCGTGGGTGCTGTTCCACTGTGCGTCCTCAGGCCCCACACCATGACCCAAGATCCTCTGCTTCCCTCCTGGCCCCTTGGAAGGCGCCAGCCCCTCTGCTGCTTGCTAGTCTCCCACCAGTGAAGCCTGGTGGACAAAAGGTGGGGAGAACTGAGTGGAGCTGCTGTTCTTTTGAGTGATAACCATGATTAATGGGTATTTGTAGATCAGATGACAGTTATAAAAGGGCATACACATTCATCACTTCATTTTATTCACACAAACATCTTCTGAGACCGCAGGCCACTGACTACTTTATAGTGATGGGAACTGAGGGACAGTGCAACAACAGGACGAAGCAGGTGACTAGCTCATCACCAGCCCATCAAGGTGAAACTATCCACAGAAGGAGTTGTTGCTTTTGGGGAACCTTCCTAAGTGTCTCTTCCAGGAGGAGTCTTTGACAGAAGGATGTATATCTGCGTTCTTGGAGGGACTGGAGCTCTGGGGTCATGAGGACAGGTTGGCCAGTCCTGGCTTCAGCCACAAGCATCATGCTGACTCCCTGTCACTCTACGTTGGCCAACCGTGCATATCCAACTGGAGAGTGATACGGCTCCAATTTACTAGGGAGCTCCTCAAAATTCCTATGGGGCAGAAGGGTACTTCAGTAACAGGGCCTCTTCCAGCAACTCAACCAGGGGAATCACAGGGATCCATGGATGGTTCTGCTGTCAACATTTCTGTTTTCTCTTTGGGCAGTCAAGTTATTCCCAGGCCTAATCCTCAGTGTTCCCCATCTCCAAAACCACAAAGACCAAACTCACTGGAGTAGCAACCAAGGTCCTTCAGAAGCTGGCTCAACCTCTTATTCTGGTTTCATATTTTCCCCCCAAATTAGGTTCTTGGACCTCATTATAACATGTCAAGCAATTCTCTGAAGCATTTTCAGGAACTGAGGACAAGAGACCAAATATTATAACAAAAGATGTTTCCCCAAGCTTTTATCACTTAGGAAGTTCCAAGTGTTTGGGGAGCTGTAAGCCAGGAACTGTGGATGAAGACCAAATATATATGAGGAGTATATTTTTGTCATCTGAATGACCAAATATATACATTTCTTATAAATCACAATATGGCAGCCCCCATCCCTGGGCCCTCCTATTTCACATACTCTATAGTCTATGCTCTAGCTACATTGTGAATCCCTAATGCCCAGTTATGCCTTTTACTTATGCTGTTCCCTCTGCCCAAAAGCCTCTCCCCTAATATCTTTGTCTTGCAACTCCTATTCATCCCTCAAGACCTAGCTCAAATGTCCGCTCCTCTTGAGCGTCTTCTCCAGCTCCCCTCCTGAGAGAGTTTTCTTTCCTTTTCTTTGAGCTTTCACAGAATGTGCTTCATCCCTTATCACCTTATACTTATTATAAGTATTAATTACTTCTCTGTATCCCTTGCTTGACTGTGAGCTCTTGAGGGTCTTTGTATTTCAAACTGCCCCTGGCACATGATGGATAACTAAACTGCTTTTGTCGAATGAGAGAGAGAAAAGTAATCTGACAGTAATATTACCATTTATTGAAAACATCAGTCATGTGCCAGGTGCTGTGTCAACATTATTTTTAATCCTCACATCAACCTTGTGAGTTAGATTTTATGATCATGGGGCATAGAGTGGTCAGATAACTTGCCCAAGGACACACAGCTAGCAGATAATGAGCAGAAATTTGAGCGCAGTGTGATTCTTCCAAAAGGCAGTGCTGCTTCCTGTTCCTCCTACCCAGCCAAGCCAAAGCCCCTGCCCAAACTTCCCTTCCATGTGCTCGAGGATTCTGAGGGCTTCCCCCTCCTCCCATCACTGCAGCTCCCTCCTGCT